TTACTGGACACCTCACCTCGCTTATGGTCTTTTCGTAATTATACTCAAACTCTATGCCCTTTTTCCTTTACTGACTCTTCTTAGTTTACTCGGTGCCCTGTCAAAGCTATCTTCCCTTCCTCCCTTCGCGGGCTTCTTCTCCCGAATCAACACCATTACCATCCTCTTTTTCGTTTTTGATTTTCTGCAAATTCTGCCAAACGCCGTCGTTTGAAGCAGCACTTGGTTTCTGCCACCAACGGTTGTTTCTCGAATGTCGTTTTGTTTTTACACTCTCCAATGCGTTCGTTAAGCACAGGTGGAACCTGATACCCAATGGGTTGCGTGCTCGGCAAGCGCTCCGCCGGAGACAACCCAGCCCCTCGAGAAGCTTCTTCCAGACGGCGCCCGAGCTCCGATGAGTCCTCCGTCGCCGTTACGAAAGTCAGTAGTAATGGCATCCAACTTAGAAAAGACGCAGAGCACACGCAGAGTAACAGATCATGTCACACGGAGGATTTTCCGGCGACGGATCCTCGGAGAACGGGTCCAGACCCCTGCCTGAGGACCCCGCCGAGATGGCCTTCCTGGCTGGTGGAGACCTGCGGTGACGCGATCAAAGACTGGACTCCTCGCCGAGCCAACACCTTCGAGAAGCTCGATAAGGTAATCGAATCTAGAAAATTCTTAATTGGAGTCTAATTGTTGGAAATTAGTTGTGATTAAGTGGAGATTTTTGTATTTTTGGTGTTTTTTGTGTTAGATTGGGCAGGGGACTTACAGTAATGTGTATAAAGCAAGGGACCTTATAACGGGGAAGATAGTGGCACTGAAGAAGGTGAGGTTTGATACTTTGGAGCCAGAGAGTGTGAAATTCATGGCAAGAGAGATTCTTATATTGAGGAAACTTGATCATCCTAATGTGATTAAGCTCGAGGGTTTGGTTACTTCGAGGATGTCATGCAGTCTCTATTTGGTGTTCGAGTACATGGAGCATGATCTTGCAGGGCTGGTAGCCAGCCAAGGAGTCAAATTCAGCGAACCTCAGGTATATGCTTTTAAGTCTCAGTTTCTTGGTAATTAATGATTATGTGTTTGTGTTGAATTGCATTGTTTGTGTGTATATATGGCTGCTTTTTGCGTTGTATGTATAGCACGTTTTGTGTATTTTGTTCAGCTTTTCCTAACTAGGCTTTTTGAACTTTTTGTTGCACTCTTTGTCCTTTTTCCCTTTTGCTTCTTGTGAGCATTGATGTTATTAAAAAGAGGGTTATTGGGCCCCATACCTTGTAGTTTTGGATACTCCTTTTTTTATTTTGTAATTAAATATTTTTTTAATGTTTTTGGCATGCCTTCTGATTACAGTTTTGATTTTCACCCTTGCTCTTTTTCCTTTTTTCTTTGGAAGGATATTAATTGAAAGAAAGTAAGGCTCCATTCTTTTACATGAAAATGTTTTCTTATTTTTATTTTCCAAATCTATATGTATTTTATTAACAAAATTATACAAGTTAGTTAACAATAAATAACAGCAGCAATAATGGTGAGGAAGTGAAAAACTATATATATATATATATATTTGAAATAAAGGAAGTGAAAATATTTTAATATACTTAGTTTCTTTTTTTAAAGGAAGCTATTTTCTTTGTACTTTCTGTTATCCCACAAACATACAACTCTTATATACTTTCATATATTCACATATGAAATAGAAAATAAAAACTAAAAAATATTTTTGTATGCCTAATGGAGCCTAAACTCTCTTATGAACAGAAAATAAATCTAAAAAATATTTTTGTGTGCTAATGGAGCCTAAAACTCTCATATGAATATAGAAAATAAAAACTAAAAAATATTTTGTGTGCCTAATGGAGCCTAAAACTCTCACATGAATATAGAAAATAAAAGCTATAAAATATTTTTGTGTGCCTAATGTAGTCTATAAGTCTCACCAAAATTTAGCTTTGGTTTGGTTGTTCATCTTAGCAGTTTTCTTTTGGTCCTTTGTCTTATAATCCAATTCCCCTGGAACAAAACAGAGATCCATTTCTTCTGGGTTATGGGTGGTTAAGAAGTGTAAAACTTTTTAATTGACATAGTTTTTTAAGTCAATATTTTGTTTTGGAGATAGTCTTGGTTGTTGCTTTGTTATTGGCTTTACCTATTTATGATATGTTGGCAGTTTATTTCTTGCATTGTCCATGAAGTTTCCATGTGACAGTGATATGCATTTATAACTGGACCTTGGGTGCGTGTCTCTCTGATTTTAAACGGAAATTAGTATTTTGATTCCTCTATAGTTACAAGAAAAGATTTTAACCTGTTTTTATCTCATTCATTTTTAAATGTTGAAAACTAACTGCACATACAAGAATCAGTAGTCGCCAAGGAATAAAACACGATTGATCTTTTAAAGGCTATGAGAATATTTTCCTTTCTACATGAAATATTTTATATGTTTTGGATTTATTGTAGATGGGTATAAATTTGCAATATCCTCAACTTTCCTTTCACATTATTGTGTTCCACCACGAACGCGTACATTTGATGGTTTTACCACTTCTCTAGTATGAGAAAATTTTGTTTATAAGAAAGTTTCATGAGCAAGTGGTGCTTTTTCCTTCTTGCAAATGTTGATTAATTTTCAAAGTTGCATTTACTTTGAGATATAAAAATGTCAGGGAATTACAACAAACCTCTTCAGATTCAGAGGGATATTCTACATGCTAAAATACTGATTGGACTGAGTTAGAATTTCATCTCAAAAGAATTTCTTGGTTAGGAACTGAAATATGATATATTGGAGGAAGTAATGTAACCTTTTAGTCCCGTTATTTTCATCATTCCGAATTATCCTTGTTGAAATAATTGCTTGACAGTTCATTTGTTGCTAAATTAGTTTCCTTATGTCAGGTAAAATGTTATATGAAGCAGTTACTTTCTGGACTTGAACATTGCCACAATCGAGGTGTTTTGCACCGTGATATCAAGGGTTCAAATCTGTTAATAGACAATGATGGCATTCTAAAAATTGCTGATTTTGGACTGGCTACCTTTTATGATACCCATCATAAGCAACCCATGACTAGTCGAGTTGTCACACTTTGGTATCGTGCCCCTGAACTTCTTCTTGGGGCCTCTTACTATGACGTTGGTGTTGATCTCTGGAGTGCAGGCTGTATTTTGGCAGAGTTGCTTGCCGGGAAGCCTATAATGCCAGGCAGAACAGAGGTATTGTCTTTCTGTTGCTTTCTTTAGCTCTGTTACCCTGAACTTCCTATTCATAAAATTTTGAGCTTTGTCAATTGTTGTTCAGTGCTAGAATCTTGCTGCAATAATGCAAGTCTGGACTCGTGTTAGGAAATCTAATAATTTGTTCTTACATAAGTTTGAGTTGTCTCCTGTTGATATTGTATAATATTTCAGTGATTAGGATGCTCTGTCAGCACATTTTGCCATTTATGCATTATGCACCTCAGAAATGGGACTAAAAGCATAGACATTGGGAAGTGGAAGTTTGTAACAGCTGTTCATTCTGAGTGGTTTCAGGTTGCTGTTCAGATGTAGAACTTGAATCAAATAAAAACATAATCAAGAGTGCTTGTACGTTGAACTTTCATTCTGTGGTTGACTGTTTTTATCGAACTCCTAGTGTCAAACCAATCAGAGCTGTTATACAGTTGATGTCTCCAGTCATGTAATGCAGTCTCCTGTGTCCATTTCTCAGACCATGGGAGATTATATTTTGTTATATTTCTTCTGATTTTTCTTTTATTCTCTTGGGTTGTTACTTAGCATATTGATCTTCCTTTGTTGGTGTCATCATTGTGTTGTTCAGTCTTCTAAAGGGCAGTTGTTCAGTTAACTCCTCTTTGGATTCTTTGGGTTTTACTTAGGTTGAACAACTGCACAAGATATTCAAATTATGTGGTTCTCCTTCTGAAGAGTATTGGAAAAAATCCAGATTGCCAAATGCAACACTATTTAAGCCACAGCATCCATATAAACGTTGTGTAGCAGAAACCTTCAAGGAGTTCCCTCCTTCTGTCCCTCTAATTGAATCTCTTCTTGCAATTGAACCCAGTGAACGAGGCACTGCCACTGCAGCTCTTAATAGTGAGGTAAGCGATCTTCATATTAACTGAGATTTCTTTCATGAGCTATACCAGTCTATATGTAGGCTGGGTATAAAAATCTTCTCCCACCCTGCTCCATGGGTTAAACTATGGCTCCAACACCCCCTTCACCTAATTTAAATTGTACTTTTTATTTGATTATGTAAATTTTGTATGAAGTAATCTTTTAAGTAATTCTGACCTTAAACAAAAGCATCAAGATATACCCACTAGTTGGTGTAAAAAATTTCTAACCATCTCTGTCCCATCCACTATT